TTTTTCTTTTTTCAGAACAGGTAACCATTTTGCTCATGCTGCATCCGCTCCTTTCATTTCTTCGTTTGTTTTGCCAATACACTTAGCAATAAGAAGTGAAGTTTGCATTTGCAGAGAGCTTATTTGGTCCTTGACAATATCGGCTGTGCAACTTACTTACCTACCGTTCATGTTGGTGCTCCATTGTTTGATCTTTCCATACCAGCCGGCTTCGCTTCGTTGCCAACTATGCCTAGTACTCTCAAACTATCACTGAAGCAGGGTAGTTCACCCGAGCAGAAGATAGGTGCCGAAGAATGGACTCGCGTGCAGAATTTCAGGTCCGTCGAAGAATGGGCGACCACTCCGATGCCATTTAGTCCATATTGAGTGATGCTAGCAAATGATTGGAATGACCTCCCATTTTTTTAGAATTAGTCCTACTGACGTGAGCATGTTTTACCGCAAGTTTTAAATTTCAATACCCCAGATCCACTCGTCTCGTGCTCAGCGGTTACAAGGTAGTGATGTAGAATTGACGTTTTTGCCACAACGCTACGTGAATAGATCTGATTGCGCTACCTCCCTCCATCACATGACTATGAAAAAGCGGTCGGTCTCGAAATTTTGAACTTTTGCTCAAGCGTGAGCCGATACTACAGGGCAGGGTTGAGCGTGGTCGAGCAGTTCTTAACGAGGGGTCATATTTGGTTCGGTAAGGGGGAGGGGCGTCGTTGGAGTCGAGATGAGCAGTGAACAGACCATCCATTGTTCACAAAAGTATGGGAGCTATGACCCGCACTGAATTTGGCTGGATGTCGAGTGCACGGCGCGTCTCTAAACGAGCTGTATCGATGCCATGCGCTCCAATTTCTGTTCCTCGCAAAAGAAGCGTGAGTTTAGTAGACATCGGAAGGTATCCGAGAAAGGCTGTGTACCATTGTATGAATGGATTCCCTAATTAGGACGGGATGTGACTTACCCAACTTCATGAAAGTATTATTTTATTTGAAACCTTTTAATAGGCGTTACACTACTTTAGGAAAGAGAATGCGTGTAGATTTCAAATTTGTGCACAAAGTTATTTAGGAAGGAGGCTGTATCGCAGAAGTATAACAATGCGCTAAAAAGAGCTTCTCTGCTGTATTCAAGCAAAATTGCCCATGGAGGCCATATTTGGTGGGACGCTAGTCTTACCATACTTTTGATAACTGTTAGGAAGGGCGGAACTTCTAGTAGCGTTCCTTTCCCTTTTGCATTTGGTTCCGCACGAGTTTATTACTTTTTAGGAAGTAAGACTTCCAAATCTTCTTTCAAATTTTGCTATTCCTTTTTTTTCGTGAGAAAATTGGAACCATTTCAACTCGGTCACTATTCTCAATTGTTGTTCAAGGGTATAACCCGCCCCAAGGTCAACATACATCAGCAATAACATTTTTTCATAAGAGGTTTTTTCGCAGATAAGGTTACGCATGGCCTACCGCCGCTATTGGAAAAGAGTATGTGGACTTTCTCTTGATTCCCTCACATCAAATCCTTTTGACGTGGCCGGAACCAGGTAGTAACTAAGAATACGTGAGCAACGGAGGAAGAGACCAGTTTAGGGGATGGGCGGGAGTTAAGGGGAGGGGGAGCAGGGTCAACCCTATCGTTGTTACTTTTTGAAAAATTTTTACGACCCCCTCCCCCAAGGTGGATTTGATACGACCCCCTTTTCCACACCTCCACCATCTCCATCTTCCATCAAAACCCGCCCACTTTTTCCTCCAAAAATGCCGTCGAGCGGGGGGTATATACGCGCTGAAACGGCAAATTTTTTTTCCTGCGCCTCAACTCACCCAGCCTACCTACCCATAAAAACTTCAGTTTCACCTCAAACTCACATGTGATTTCAAGCGACTGAAACGGGTACGACCCCCTCCTACAAACTCAACCAAGTACGACCCCCGTTGTTGTTACTAGTAACAACGTAGGGTTGACCCTGGTGGGAAGGCGTGAAGCATTCTTCGTTTTTTTGTGGCGGGAAGGGGGACAAAAAACGGGAAAGTCGAGCACTTAGACCTTTTGGATGTATTGCCTCGGGAAAAAAGTTCGATTTTTCTTATGAGGTGGCATTTATCTAATCCCGAAGACAGAGAAAGATTTTCATGGTGAAATTTCTCCCATGTCCTGCGCAATCCTCAAAGAAATTGTTTACTTCAAAGTATATTTGCCCCAATTCGTGCACTGTGACTGTTTCGCAATCATTTCATGATTTTCGTTACCAATCGCCTTTGTTTAAAATGAATTTGAATCTTTCTCTAATGATGGATTCCCTCTTCCCTCTGCTTTCTTCTTGATAAGAAGTCTCGATGATACTAAAAAAAGCCAAATAATCGAGCAGAAGAGAAAAGCAACAGGAAAATATGGAATGGTTGTATGTAATTTTGCGGAATAGGCTAGAGCGGCTTTTCATGAAAATTGCAGAAAAACTCATTCCACATTTCGAGAGTTGAACTTTGAGGTGGTGTGCGAAATTGCGCCCATACCGGCAACATTTCCCGTAGGGAGACTTCTCCGAATACATTTTAGGAGGAAAGTTTCTTCAAAATTCCTAGGTGGATGTATATTTATGCGGAGCAGTGTACATATATCACTGGCTAAGTATTTTATCTCATTGCCTGCAGGATACTTCAGCGTATAGCCGAATCTTCTCCATCTTCTATGGCCCATCCAGGCCCTTCTAGCAATGCCTGTCTTCAAATATCTACAAACAGCGCAAGGTAGCACACATGCATGGCTTCGACTGCTTGTTCTTGTTTGCTCATAGGTATTTCCTATGATGAAGACGGAGCCCGTGATGAGAGGGGGGAGGAGGTTGGCGGTTATGCCAGAACACGCAAGCAATGCTACCTAAAGGTAAAACGCCCGTTGTTCTGTTCTTTCAAGCGAAGATGTTTCTCTTGAGAATTTGAGCGCTTTTGTGAATTTATTGCCTTTTGCTTGAATAATGCGAGAAACCTTATTCTTTTTGTTGTTTCTATAGAGAAGGGATATTTTTTGTTCGGGTTATGGTATGGAGAATGGGAAGGTCCACATGCCGTCCACAAGGCATTTAATTTCAGTAAATTGGTCGTCGGCAAAAAAGTGCGTTGCATGAACTGACCATTCCGGAATGTTAGCTAAATAAATTCTGACGATGCAGCACACAACGATGCGAGTGCTCCTGTGCACAGGGATTCTTGTTCAGGTACGGCAAAGAACATTACTTTGAGAGTGTTTCAGAATAAATTGCTTGAAAGTCAATAAAGCGGAAACGGTCGATCGGCGCGTGACCTTACTACTTTAATTTCCCTGACTGCCACAACCAATCTAATGGCACACCCCACGACTGCAGAGTGTGCGTTCATATAGAGGTCCAAAAATGGGACTCTTAACAAAGAGCTTCAAATTCCCATGGAACTTCGAATTGATACCTAGGTAAATCGATAGAGCCTGAATGCTGGTTACAAATATGAAAAGCAAAACTGCTACGCGAACTTGCCAAGGAAATTGTGAGCGATCAAAGTTGGCTGTTAATGCAGCGTTGGTAATGATATTTCGTAAAAATTACTTGCAAGGGATTCTAATGGCCCTGATCACGAATACCCATTCTCGGCGCTGGCGCCATTTGACACCAATCTCGCAAATCTGAAGCGCAAAATTTTGTCATCACGGGGAATCAAACTTGGGACGATTCCGTTCGCTCGGCAGGGTTACGTTGCTGTTTGGTCGTCATATTCGCAACCGTCATTCAAGGCTCTATCAATTCACCTAGGTTTCAGTTCAACGTTCCATGTGAACTTGAAACACTTTCCTGGTTATACCAAGTGATTCTCTGGAAGTAGAAAGCAGAACAAATAGCCGAAATCCCTTAACCGCGGCCCATCTTTTTGCAGTATTTGGGGCCGTATGCTATCCTTCCCCGAAGCTAGGTGATCCAAAGTTTCCTTTAAATTTATTTGTTTTGAACGATATAGTTTCTTCATTTTCAGTGCATGTTTACTTTTACCTACATACATACATTAAATGTAGGCCCTTTATCAGGGCAATCCCAGTTGGGAAGACAGAGAAAATTTAAAGGAATTTTCGTCCCCCAACCCCTTCGGGGAGATAGCATACGGCCCATGATGTACTTTCCGACTTTGTGGTAAAAAATGGATGGCGCATAGATTAGAGTGTAGACGCTGCGACGAGAGAACATGGACACGTGCGAAACCCAGACGCCGAATGCCGAGTCAATTACAGGCAGATTGAATCGGTCCACACTGGGTGTATTTCGGGATCCTTTGGCTCCTTCCTCGAGTAAACACCCATAACCACCTTATGTGAGCTGCCGGAGGTAAAAATAGGGGCAATAATCTTTGGTCAAAACGACGACCGAATTCATGAATTTCGGAATGCTTCCTCAATTCATGGAAATCTGGTCTCTTCCTAGAGCACAGCGCCCATTCACAAATTAATCCTATCCAATGCCAACCGAGAGCACGAGTTAGTCTGACAGGAGGGAGTATCGGATTGTTTGCGAACTGGTCGTATTTTTCTAGGAACTGGGAAGAGATTTTCCGAGAAATGTAAAGAAATCCCAATCCTTCTAAAAATTAACTACCACCTTCCAGATGACAGTCATTGGGCAAGCCATTCAAAGACAGATCGGACACATCATCATTGTAGGAGGGAAATTTTATCAGCCAGACCGTCCCGCCTGACCTGTCACCTTCGTAGGACGCGCCGGAATGGTTAACAGAGGTGTTCCAGAAGATTACGCAACACAGTTTGAGCTTGAAATTGGGTTCTATCGTCTTTTGTCCCAGAATGGACATACCTTCAACTCTATAAACCTTGTAATTGTAAAAATAAACTTACCAAATTGCACGGCTTACCATTCGTTGTACATCTCATGGTGCACCTGAACCTCAATAGAGGTCATAATTCCCTTATACAGCTAGGTCGGACATCCGGTGATGAACATCGCGCTTCTTTGAAATTTTAGCCGCTCCTTGGCTTATCCTTTACAAGAGAAGGCCAGCAAAAGAACCAACTGGATCTCAGGAAAAGCATGAAAGAAGCGAAACGACTGCAATACCCGGGTTGGCTCGAGAAAGGTGACCAGAACGCTGGAGTTTCTAACACAGTCATGTAGAGAGTGGTCAGATAACAACTGCTCACAGTCCATTATAAGTTGCATAAGCACCACTGCTCAATCCAACGGGAGGAGCACAGCAGAGACAAAAAGTTCAAAGAGCTGGTGTCGAGGGCCGAAAACGGCGATTACGCGGGCACCGTTTTCATCGGCGACAAAATAGCTCATATGGAGCAGAGCTAGAGCTTTCAAATTCCGAGAATGCTCGAATTAGGTCTCGTGGAAGCCAGTGAGAGTGTAAGGAATATTCGCAGCGAGCAGCAGCCAACCCTTTATCACTATTTTTTTGGACGGGTCCAATTCGCTCGGTCCGCTCACACAAATGTCTGGGTCTGATAAGGCAAATGATATTTGCTACAGACCTAGCTAGGCGAATGTTTCTGTGTTTGCTAATCAATATATCTATTTTGTGCGAGGGTTTCATTCATCAACGCGGAATGTGCTTTGCTCTACAGGACAGTGTTCTTTCAGATGGACCTGCGCTGACGTCGCCAATAACGAATTACTTGGTTGGCCAGTGATCCACTGCAATGCTGAAACTATCGAGATGCGATTCGCAACTAAGAAAGAATTTCAAGGTGAACGTGCTAGTGTGGATTGTATCTTCGATATTCAACACTGTATTGTTCGATTTCGTCGTATGTTGTGAATTGCATCCTCTGGTACAGGCAAAGTATACGTGAAGGGGAGTTACAACCATCCTGAATGTCGAGTCGAGTACAGCTCGAAGGTAGCTCGACGAGCGTCTACACGTGGGATCAAAATAGAGCACGGTGCATGTAACATGAGCCGGCAACGACTGGTAATTCCTACTATTCAATAATATGCGTCGCGTATGTTGTCGGTGGAAAATGTAAGGGCACCTTAAAATAACGAAAACGGGATGAACATGAGATTCGACTATTATACGAAACATGACTGCAGGTGCTAAATGACTGACCAGCAAAGAAAAAGGAGAAACACTATCGAAAACGCATAAATAGAGCTCATAAATAGGCGACAGAACAAAAGACGGAGACGAAAGAGCATAGGTGGCCACGATACTGCAAATGTGGGCTTGTATGGATACTTGAAGCAGGATTCCACGAAATCGGAGGTCGGAGAAGGGGAAAAATACCTAGTCAATATCCAAATGAGTTCTGTTAGGGGGCTTACGATGTGCTTCGCAGTGAAGAGTAGACCGACGTCACCACTCGCGGCGACAACGCCGATGAACGATCGCGATCGCTGTGTCCGGTGCGAGTGAGACGTCGGTCTACGCTTTTAGCGGTCCAGCAGTGTCGCGCCCGCGCCAGCGGCGCCTGTGCACCTCTTCCGTTACCTTTGGCCGTCTGACTCTAACAGTGTAGCAGGGAGCGTTGAATGTGCACCGATGAGAGTCGCAACAATACGGCAATCACCGGGAAAGGAAGGGTCCCATTTCTCGGGTCGCTTCTCCTATTCTTCTCTTCATTCGTGCATTCCTGCTCATCCCTACATTAGTGCTTAAAGAGTTGCTTTTTCATAAACATGAACTAAGCCTTTAAGTCATTGTCGCTAAACTTGACAAATCATACTAATGTCTAATAGTATTGTTTAAAATATAATGTAGAATGGTTTTTTACAGGCACCTCCAGAAGGCATGATTCTCTCCACAGTTCTCGTCATCAGTTTTCATCCCGTATGTTTTTCTTGAAGTTTTCAGAAACAGTATGAATTCCCCACGAAGAAAAACATTCTCACCTGAGTATATACATAGGCAAAAACCCACATATTTTGACCTTCGATTTTTGGGAAGAATAATTTTTCCAAATTTGGCAGACATTACTGTAGAGGGATAAATAGCAGAACCCACTCTCTTGGGCTGCGATCGATTTAGCTCATAAATGTTGCAGTAAAACAAGGTCTTCCAAAGAAAAAATCCCGATTGTGAGCAAGGTCCCAATTCCGCTATTACGCCCTGCGCGGAGGCTTATTACTGTGAAGCATTGCTGCTGCACACTGTCGAAATTGAAGATGCTTATTGCGATTATGTTTTTCGACTTGGAGATTCACTATAAATTCTCTACTGTATCTTGCACTAGTATACTCGCTGTACTTTCCAGTTATTTATTACCAAAGCCGACAAGATGTTCAGCGTCAGGTGCATGTACAAGGAAGCTTCACACTCTATCACTGCTAGACTGCATGTCAGGTAGGTTAACTACCTATACGTATATTTCCATTTGGGCAAGAAAGCTTCCACATTTCCAGTATCCTGAGATCTGAATTGTTTCATTAATGAATTGACCCTCAATATGAATGGGCTAAATAAGGGCTGTTTTCAGTATGCTACCATCGGTGCAATTACCTACAGGCTCACTGTCTCCTACGTGTTCCTACACCATCAGGAGGGATTCTCTGGATGGTGAAGTTCTCGCCTACGCCAAAGTTGGTGATCAAGTGGTACATAGGTGGAATTGTGACACAGGTACGTGAAGTGCTGTAGAACTGATTGCAAGGATTGAGAGCAATGCACTCTGGGCTAGGAGGGGAGCTGTTCGTAGACGTCCGGTCCTCCTCATGGCCCCCATAATTACTGTATTTGAAGGCACACCTCACACTTTAGAATTGTTCTGTCCCGAAGTCTCATGTTGATCTAAATGTGTATTAAACAATGTGAGACTTCAAAATTTTATTGCAAAAGACTCTAAAACTTTCTACAAAAGAAACTGATGTGGTAATTCCAGTTCAATATGATAGAGGTGCTAACCTAAGGCTAGTTGTTAACACATTGACGACATTGAGACGCTG